CTGAGTTCAAATCCAGCCTTAGACATTTATTAGCTTCATGACCTTGGGCAAGTCATTTAACCTTTGCCTGCCTCAAGTATAAAATGGATACTGTAATAACACCTATATCCCACAGTTGTTGTTTGTTGTGAGGATCAAAGGAGAGATTGTAAAGTGCTTAGCCCAGTGGTACCTAATAAGTACTGTTTCCTTCCTTCCTTCATTTCCAATATGGGAAGTCGTTAGAGAGATTCAAGGAATCTGTGCTTGGTCCTGTGATGTTTAACATTTTTATCAATGATTGGGACGAAGGTACGGATAGCACTCTGAGTCAGTCATTTACTCCTTTTTCCAAATAAGTCAAGTTTACTTTTGGTGTTCATAGAAAGTAACTGAAAAGGGGACTTAAACATATTCCTTTTATTATGTTGCTAACTACATTTAGATCGATGTCCTTTAAATGAGTGATTTTGTTCTAAAATAACCATTGTAGGGGCAGCTAGGTGGTGCAGTGGATAGAGCACCGGCCCTGAAGTCAGGAGGACCTGAGTACAAATCCAGCCTCAGACCAAGCACTTGACATACACTAGCTGTGTGACTCTGGGCAAGTCATTTAACCCCAGTTGCCTAAAATTAAAAAAATAAAATAAAATAAAATAAAATAAAATAAAAAACCATTGTACCCAAGGAAGAAAGAAACAGGCCACACACAATGAATTTGTGAACCATAATGAGGTTTATCGAAGGATATTCCTCAAGGTCAGTAGAGGCCTTGGGAATGCTGGAGATGAGATGGAATGTTATTCAGGTCTATGTCTTGAGCTGGGCCTCTACTAGCTATTCTAGCAGAATAGAGGCCAGCTAATGAAGAAGGGCATGGGTGGGTGGATGGGTCGAAGGTAGCATCTGCCCAGGTGATAAGGGGTAGGGTGGAGGAACTAAGCTAGGTAGCAATCCCCAGGGGTCTTAGAAGGGATGCAGCACCAGAGATAATTTTCCCCTGGCTATCTGGATGACAGTAGGCCACAGGGAAGATCAGCTAGTGGGGGTGGGGTTTAGGGGCAGGGAAAGGAGCCAGCACCCATGGTGATCCCCTCAAGTATTTGGCTCCAAAGATGGCTCACGAGCTTTCTCTTTTTATACAAAAAGGCCCAGTCTTTGAGGCATATTAAGGGTGTTTCCACTTTCTAGTTCCCAGAGATTCTAGGGCAGTGATTGGCTCAATGGGACAGTCAGCTTAGGATAGAAAGGCTCATCCCTATCTCTACCAAGCACACAGAAATCTATTATCTATAGGAATAGGGATGAAACAAAAACTTAACTTGCTTTGAATTGAGTCTTATCACACAATCTTGGAAATAGGGAGAGATCTTCCCAGCACTCTTGGAGTATACTGCAAAATAGTGAAATTGCAATTAATTGCACGGGCAAGGGGGAAAACAATTAAAGTGTCCTAAAGAGTTTTCTGCCCCTCACTAGCTAGGCCAATGCTAGGGGAGGTAGCCTTGGGACATGTTCTTTTGGTGATAAGACAACAGAGGCTTTTCTTCAAGGAGTTACTACTTCCCTTGGACTCTGCCCCTATAAAGACAGTGACCAAGTCGACAGTAGTATTTATGTCAGGGAAGGGTAATTGTTGCTGCTGCTGCTAGTTGTTTGTTCTTCATTCTTAAAGAGAACCATGACATCAGGAAGATGATGCCATGATATGCAGGTGAATTGGATTTAAGTGAGGGAGGGCTATTCAAAGTCACCAGCCTCACTCTCTCCTCTGGAGCCATCTGGGTCCAGTGACCAGATATAGATCAAGAAGATTGCAGATGGCCCAGGATGAAATGGGAGACCCTGGCCCTTTTAAGTTAAGGTCTTTAACAGGTCTCAGTTAGACTGAGGCAATGCCCCTTCAGTGATTAAGGCTTAGAAAGGAAAAAGAAATAATAAAATATAGGAATAAGTGAGGAGTGAAGGAGCTATGGTAGACTAACATGTAACACATATACACAAAAACCCCAAAACCTTCCATGTCATATTCTCATTTTTTAAGTCACTCAATTTGTTTTTTTCTTTTTAAAATTTAATTTTTATTGACATTCATTGTGTTTATAGCTTAATTTAAATTTTCTTTTTATTATGAACTTAACAATAACACAAACATTTTAGTATGCAAAGAACCAAAAAAAAGAGGATTATGTATGAAATTGTGAACTGTTAGTCACAGTGTGGTTTTAAGTATATTTAAGTGCTTTAAATATGCCTTTCCTTAAATTCTCTTTGTTTTCTTCTGTATATTTTGAAAATATTTTTGATGCTTTTTCTTTTTTCTTTCTCTTTCCTTCCTTCTCCTTCCTTCCTCCTTCCTTTTCTCTCTTTGCTTTTCTTCTTTTCTTTCCCTTTTCTTCCTTCTTTTCTCTTTCCTTTCTTTCTTTTTTCCTTCCTTCTATTCTCTTTTCTTCCTTCCTTCCTTCCTTTCTCTCTGTCTTCCTTTCTTTCATTAATTCTTTCTTTCCTTTCTGCATTTCTATCCTTCCTTACTAAAGCTTCCCTTGCCCCCATACAAGTTCTGAAAAGATAAGTATAATCAAGCAACACATTGGCCACATCTGAAATTGTGGCTTCCTTTCTCTGCAGCTTTCCCATAGCAACACACCAGGAGGAAGAGATCTAAGACAGGTCTTAGGGCCATAGCTGGTACAGTTAATCTCAGATCAGTTCTACTTGGCTGCTTTGCTATTTATCTTGCTTACCTTTCCCTCTCAACATCAAGGTAGCTCTTATATACACAGCAGAGTAGAGGTAAAGCCAGTCATTTCAGTTAAGAAGCATCTAAAACCAGCCAGCAAGGCTGGCTGGAATACCTACTCCTCCTTCCCTCCTTTGGTTACAGTATGTCTACTCTCTATAGTCTTTTCTGGGTTTAGGGCAAAGGCCTTTATTGGTAAGGAGGCTGATGGGAAGAGTAGTTTTTCCCAGCTGGAAGGAGAGACTGAGGATCAAGGGAGGCAGAAGCTATAGGATATGGAAGAAGTCCAGGAACTTTGGATCCCTTGGGGTGAAAGCTTACCAGGCCAGCAACCTGCCAATTTCAAAGAAGGGTGCTACTATGCAAATGGAAAATAATCATGCCCCAAAGTAAATCCAACATTACTCTATTCGTATCCTATAAGGTCATCCACTTGTTCCTTCCAATGACCCTTCCCTTTCTTGATAGTTCCCCACTCATTTACTGAGCTCTATCATTCTCACTTCCTCTCAGTCCCTATTGGTTTTTTTTCCTCCACTCCTATCCTTGTGCATCTGTCAAATGACATCAATGATTTAGAAATAAAATAATGAAGTGTTATATTTTAAAATAAAAATATTTTAATATAATGCCATAATACTTGCATGTGTCTTTATACATATATATATAAATTTTTTTAAAAAGTCAGATTCTGGGGCCTGTGGTTAGGCAGACCCTCACTGTGATGGATCAGGGCAAATGAGTTTAGCCACTATCATAAGGCAGATAGGTTTAGGCTGAACCTGGAACACAGTATTTGCTCAACCCTCTTTCATTATATTGAACACAGATTGAATACTGGAGAAACACAAGCATGTGTACCCAAACCCGTACAAATCCTGTTCTCATGGTCACTAGGAGAATTCCACATGGCCTCAGCTATGAGCGTATCAGAGGAAATACTATGTGAAGGACTGTTTTGCCATTTTTACTTATGGAAGTAGCACGTCGCCTAGATATTTAAGAAAGTAGGATAATCACTACTGCCGGCAGATGGAAGACACAAACCTATTGCCACTCAGTGGAAGTGGCTTAGCAGCACAACCGAGTTGCAGAACAGACACAAGTAAGCCTTCAGCTCATGGGGAAGAAGGCTACAGCTATAGCTGTGCAGGCAACCCATTTTTTCTAGGTGTCCCATGTGCTCTGCAGTGATGAGTCTGGGCCTGCCCTCTAAGGGAATTGAGGGGATTAGGGCAGCAAGTGGTTGATTGTGGGAACTGAGTGAACCACATTAACTCTACCTTGTGACTCAATTCTGGAGTTAGCTTAGTTTCTATTCAATTATGGGTCTAATCCAATTTCTGTCTTGTGACAAAACTTTTTTCAATTGTGGGAACTGGGAGAAAACCCTTATTGCATTGTTTGAACCTAGCCCTGCCTGTCTAGGAAAGTAGACCATCTCTACCTGCTGCTTAGAGACCCTTAACCAAGGACATAGGTTATGCAGCCAGAAACCCAGTCAGATTGAAAGACTGATATAAGGAGTTTTCTCACAATTGTACATCTCAAGTAACCCATATGTCTTATCTGAAAACTGGCCTGGCACTGATCAATCAGTTATTGTTTTTATGTCCCTTTGATTATTCACAGACATTTAGGGGGAGTGGGACACTTCTTTTTCTAAATTCAAGGAAATGTATCTGTTCATTCTTCCCCTCCCAATTTGGAAAGGCCCTAATCTTTCATCCAATTAGAAATCAGATTATCTAATGTTGTATTGCTTCCTTTTAATTAATTGGCCTAATTTGATTAATTGTTTTTAATGCATAAAAGTCTGTCTCCTGTATTTGGAGTCTAGGGCTAAGCTGAAGAAATTTTGTCCCAATTTGTTAGGCAATTGGTATGCATTCTTTTAATAAATCAATACACTCAGAAGTTTGCACCTCTGCTTTCCTCAGTCATTTCATCTTTTACCACAACAATTATTTGATCTCTTGCGAAAACACCTCCAAAGTATTTCCTCTACAGTATCTGTTTGGCAGAATGTCTGTGACTCCATTTCCTAATCAGTAAAATGGAGATAAATAACATTGGCTGTGCCTAAACTTCACAGAATTATTGTGAAGATCCAGTGAAATAATAATAACTAGCATATATAGTTAAGATTTACAAAGCACTTTAAAAATATTATCTCATTTTATCCTTACCATAATCCTGGTAGATAGGTGCTATCATTATCTTAATTTTAAAGAAAAGGAAGCTAAGGCAAGCAGAGATTGAGTGACTTGTCCAGGATCACTCAGCTGGCAAGTATCTGAGGCTGGATTTGAATTCAGGTCTTCCTGACTCCAGGTTCAACGTTATTTGCTGCACCAGATAACATCTGTAAACAAGTCAGAAAAGCTATAAATATATAAAAAACCTATAATATCAGCCAGCATCATCATTGTCATGATGTAGCACCTGTATCCCAAGCGCTGCTATGGAGGTGAGTAGAGACTACATCAGAGTTTGCCAATTGGTGACCAGCTTTGAATCTGGATTTATGGGATTTTGCTTTAGGACAGGGATTCTCAATCTTTTGTAGGTCACAGACCCCTGTGTCAGTCTGGGTTAGGTCTACAGACTTCTTCTCAGAATAATGTTTTTAAATGCATAAAATAAAATATATAGTATTACAAAAGAAACCAAAATAGTTCCCCAAATCAATTAAAATGCAAATTCATAGACTCCAGGTTAAGAACCCTTGCTTTGGGAGAATTCTGGGAGAGAGGAGCCAGAAGAGGAAGTCTGTTCTCCATCTTGGAGTCATGTGGGTGGACAGGGTTGAGTTATGGTTGAGTTACCAGGGTTATGCCTGGTTTCTCTCTGGGTGTCTGTTCCCCTCCTCTTTCCTTCTGGGTCTTAGATGAGTTTCTGTTGCCATGGCTGGACAGCAAGGAGATGCCAAAGACCCTGCTGGGAGATGAGAGCAGTGGTTGGTGAGATAATGCAAGTACTTCAAGGAGCAGCTCCTATTAACTCCCCATATTCTCCGAGTTTTGTCTCCTTCTTTCCCAACAAGGTAAGGAGTGAAAAGGGGAAGAAGCTGATTCAGCCTCCGCAACAGGCTGCATGAGTTCTGGCTTACTCTTGTCTAACAAATTGTAGCCCCCACTGCTCACTCTTCTTTCACTGCTATTGTTTTACTTCCCCTCTCACCTGTGTGATTAATTATGGCACAAGTAGCTATTTGGGAAAAGGTTTGGATCTGTGCCAAGGGAGAACATCATTCCCACTTCAGTGTGTCTGAGGCTGGCGGCGTGGGATGGGGTTGGACAAGACAATCATGATGCTATCCAAAAGTGACACTTTAAAGAAGTCTCAGAACATCACTACTGTCTTTGAAGCTTGCTTCCTAGATAGCTAGAGACAAATAGGAGAGTTGTAGATATTTTGCTGGTTGTCTGTTAAAATACTTTCCTTAAGCCAAGGCAAATTCCCATAAAGACGAAAGTCTATAAGCCAAGAGAGATTATAAATTGACTACTAGAACTAGTAGAAATAAGTTGTTAGGGCAAAAGCAAGCCAAGGGGCATCTGTGGTAGCAGGGGGACATTCCCTGTGCTACCCCTTTAAAAAAGTAACTCATCTTTCCTAAATATTACAAGGGACACAATACTAATACAAAAGATTGTAGCTAACATTTATATTAGCAATTACAATGTGCTGGGCACTGTGCTAAGTGCTTTACAAATATTATCTACTTTGATCCTCACAATAGTCTTTTGGGAGGTAGATTCTCTTATTATCCATATTTTACAAATGGGGAAACTGAGGCAAATAGCAGTTAAGTGACTTGGCCAGGGTTACACAGCTAGTAAGTGTCTGAGGCTGTATCTGAACTCAGGTCTTTCCAACTCTAGACCCAGAGCCCTATCCACTACACTGCCTAACTACCCACAAAAAACTCTACAAAAACAGGAACCAAACTAACCTGCTAGACAGGGATGTACATTCCCTGGTAGAACATCATATCAGGGGATAAATTTCTTGTTTGTCACAGGTGAGCAGTACTGTTCTATATTCTAATAATTTTTGTTGTTGTCTAGTTGTTTTTCAGTCATGTCTGACTCTTTGTAACTTCATTTGGAGTTTTCTTGGCAAAGCTACTAAAGTGGTTTACCATTTCCTTCTCCAGCTCATTTTACACGTGAGGAAATTGAGGCAAACAGGGTTAAGTGACTTGCCCAGGGTCACATAGCTAGTAAGTGTCTAAGGTTCAATTTGAACTTGGGTCTTTCTAACTCCAGGCCTGGCATTCTATCCACTGTACCATCTAGTTGTCCCATATTGTAACAATAATTACTATTATATGAGTTGAAAGGCAGAGAGAACTGCTCTCAGAGTCAGAATGATCTGAGTGACCATGAGCTGTTCACTTAAGTTTTTTGAGCATGTTTCCTCATCTGTAAAGAGGTTGGACTCAATGATCTCCAAGGTCCCTTTGAACCCTAAATCTATCATCTTATAATTCTATGATCCTATGGTTCACATTCTAGCTGTGCTCTGGGTAACCCTGGGCAAGTGTTCTTAACATCTTTGGGCAGCTCTCTGAGAAAAGGTTGCAGAGTAGATGCCAATTGGCATTAATAGATGAACAGAAGGAATTTCTCACCCGTAGGAGCTCCTCACACTAGATGAAATCACAGGTCTGATTAAAAACAATTTTTGACTTGGGCCTTTAAGAATTAATAAGTAAGTAGAGGGTATTTCTCAGGAATATATGAACAAAGGTTCTGATGAACGCTGCTGGACAGATGATCAGGCACTGCAACAGAATCCCTAGTCACAGTGACCCCAGGAACCCTACCAACACCAGCTGATCCTCGCTGCATGGGCTCCTCGCTGTCTTGTCTGTCCCTCAGCACTCTCACTCTTTGAGTCATCAAGGCAGTCATTCAGCTGGATGGGAAAGTTTATCAGACCTACCAGGTTATCTAGAGGGTGTACTCTGCTAATCAGACCAGAGCTCCTCATTCTGGTTCTTCTTGAAAATCTCTGCTACATCATTGCCTCCTCCCCACCCCAAATGGCTCTTAGCTGTCAGAACTTATTAATGTATGCTAGGAATGGTCTTGTTTCCAGCTTTATATCTGTCATGGAAACCAAAACATAATTTTTTATGAAGGCATCTGAAAAAGTCAGAAAGTATTTTCCTTTTTTCTATCAAGAGCACCATCAAACAAATGTTATTGGTAGAGCTGCACCCAAGAGAATCTAGCATTCCTTTAAATGCTTAGCACTGCACATAGTAAATGCTTAATAAATGTTTGACTGATTGATTAATAAAATTAAGATAGCCCTCCAACCCTCAGAAGAGGTGGCCAGAAAGCTCTGATACAACCCTTTAAAATATGGCACCCAAAGTCTTGGTACCTAGGGGTCCTATAGGGTCTTATTCTCAAGGACATTAACTTTGTTACACAAATGATCATTACTCAGACCATCTGCTGTTCTCTGTGCTCAAGACCTCAGGCAGTCTTCAAGATAGCCCACCACAGAAAACTTCCTCAGGAATTCATACAAGAACACCAGACCCCTGTAGCTGTTCTACTTTGCTATGAAGCCTGGCTTTGCCAGGGGTATCATCCCATAAAAGTCTCTAATGCGACAGAAAATGGGGGAGTTGATTGCATGGTAAGCTGGTGTAACTGTCAGATCCCAGTGATTGCTACCCAACACCTCTTACCCAGGATGTCAGCCCAGTAGTGAGCCCTCCTGGCCTCTTTTATGCTGAATACACAACATAGTTTCATTATGACTCAGCTTCCCTTATTCTGGTAAATTTTATGTCGTGTTAGATTACCATAAGCACATAACCCACTCAGACACTAGGAAATGACCCACATTTACCACAAGGAAGACACAACGGGAAGAAATCCCAAAGCCATGGGGCACACGGCTACACTAACTGCTCCTTCCAGCCTCATTTGGCTGCTACACCCACAGTCTCTGATCATCACCGTGTATGGTTGTTTGATGAAAAGCATAGCAGCTCTGCTCTGTCTCTACAACATTTTAGGTAACTTTAGCCTCAGGTATAAATCCTAACACAATCAACCCTCTCCTTACTCCAGCCATCTTGCATATCTATAGCAGTGATGTCAAACTTAGATAGAAATGGACTAATAAACTATCCATAAGGATCCCGGTACCTGCATATTGCCTTAAAAAACCACATGTTAACATTACCTATGTTTTATTGTATGTTCACTTATTTTGGTAAATATTTCCCAAATACATTTTAATTGGCATAGAGCTGCATTCGGAATTGTTGTGGGAAGCTTGCAGCCAGTGAGACAGGTGTTTGGCACATCTGTTCTATGTGTCAGCAGGGTGGAAGTGTCTAAGGGGTATTGTCAGTCCTTCCTATACACAATCCCACTTGTTCTCCATCCCATTGCTGTGTTTCTTTCTGACAGAAGGAAGACCTCCAAAGTCAGGGTCTACAGTTCCAGAGAACCTTAATCTATGACTGGGTAAGCAGGAACTAGACCTGAGCATATAGTTAAGTAGAAAGATGTATGATTGTTAGGCCCACTTGAGATTAGGAAAGCCAAGGGGGTTGTGTGAGGGAGGGGGAATGGTTAGGATCTCCTCTACAATAACAGATTAAGACCCTAGAGGACTCCTAGGTACCAAGACTTTGGGTGCCATTTTTAAAAGGGTTGGATCAGAACTTTCTGGCCACCTCTTCTGGGGGGTTGGAGGGCTATTTTAATTTTATTAATCAATCAATCAATCAATAAACATTTATTAAGTATCTACTAGGTGCCAGGTGGGGCAACTAGGTGGAGCAGTGGATAGAGTGCCAGGTCTGGATTTATGAAGACTCATCTTTCTGAGTTCAATTCTGGCTTCAGATACTTACTAGTTAAGGAATTTTTTCCCCTCTTCCTGTCAGCTCTGTCTCTTTTTGAGGATGTCTAAAACCATTACGAAATGGGAGAGACTCGGATGGCTCATGACAGCACCGTCTATATGAATGCATAGCAATCCCCTAGTTATGTGACCTTGGGCAAGTCACTTAACCCTGTTTGCCTCAGTCTGTTCATCTGTCAAATGAGCTGAAGAAGGAAATGGCAAACCACTCCAATATCTTTGCCAAGAAAAACCCAAATGGGGTCACAAAGAGTCAGACATGACTGAAAACAACTGAACAACAATAGCAAATGTGCCAGGCACTGTGCTGAATGTTAAGTGTTTAAAGGCATGCTAGCTCTACTAGGACAGTAGCTTCATTAAATTATGAACTTTAATACCAATGAACATCAACATTTTAATATACAAAGGATTATGTATAAAATTGTGAAGGAGGAGGAGGAGGTGGAGGAGAAGGAGAAGGAGAAGAAGAAGAAGAAGAAGAAGAAGAAGAAGAAGAAGAAGAAGAAGAAAAAGAAGAAAATGTATGTTTCATTCTACACTGCTGGTCTATCCCCTCAAATCACAACTGGTCACTACATTCATCAAAGTTCTGAACTCTTTCAGAGTTGTTTTCTTTTCAATTGTTGTGGTCATTGTGTAAATTGCCCTTCTAATTCTGCTCTCTTCATTCTCTATCAGTTCATATAAATCTTCCCAGGTTTCTTTGAGTCCATTATAGTCATCACCTCCTATTAAATTTATATACCTCAATTCTCTAATTGATGGGTACCCACTGTACCCATCATGTACTGTATTTCTAGTTCTTTGCTGCAAAAAAAGAGTACTACTAAGAATATATGCACACACATATAAATGTGTATATATGTATATGTATGTGTATATATATATAATTTTTTTTCTCCCTTCTGTTTGTCTTTGAGGCATATGCTCACTGGTGATATCACTATGTCAAAAAAGCTTCCTAATCCTTGGCTCAGGAACTCTCTGAGTCTCGGACAAGGGTCTCCAACAGGGCCAAGAGACACTGAACATTCCATGAGTTTTCCAAATGCTTCCCAGTTCATCATCTGGGTTTGGGAGTAGGGATGGTCAAGGCATGTTTATTCAAGCCCCTGACACTTTCTTACCCTGGGCATCCTCTCTATAAACTGCTATTTGATCTGTGACCCTACAATTCCTGCTCCTTTCTGTTGCTTCCTTTCATATTGATTTCTCTTTCTTTATGCTAAACAATTAAGCAGCAATTGAAAATGTACCTGTTCTCCTCCATATAAAACCTCTCAGCAGGTGGTGCTTCAGCTGCATGTCATTTTCATTTCCAGTGCAGCTTAAGAGAAACTGAGGCACAAATCCATTTTCTGCTGATTCCTTCTTTGCGAAGCTCATGAAAAACTCTGGGAATTTTTTCCCCTCTTCGTGTCAGCTCTGTCTCTTTTTGAGGATGTCTAAAACCATTATGAAATGGGAGAGACTAAGATTGGCCCATGAGAGCACAGTTTATACGAACTTGCACAGCAATCCCCTAGGCAGACTTTGAAACAGGTGCGGATGTTCTGTTTGTGGTAAAGAGGGGCCTTTGGGGTTGACTGCTGAACTGGAACTGAGTTAGAGGAAAGACTCTCAGGAAGGCACCTCCGCCTTTCTTGCCTGGCTGTGCTTGAGGGAGGAGTGAGTACTGTAATCCTCTCCAGCGGGGAAAGAATCCTCAGGCCTTTATCTCCCCTACCTATGTCCCTGCCCTGTGGCCTGTGACTGCATGGTCCTGATACTGCTTCTGTTTCTGCTGTGCCTATTTTTTCCTGCTTTAGGTGAAGGAATATTGGTGATGGGTTCAATCTTGTGAGCTTTGAAAGGTTGGGAAAGAGAACACCAGAGCTGGAACCCGTGCTACGATTTGCTGGAGACTGAACACAGGTAGGGCAGCAGCAGAGGAACTCAAGTGACCCGCATGACCTTGCCCAGCTGTAGCTGAGATGCTGAGAGATGGTGACTCATTCAATGGCTATGATGAATTTGGAAGTGAACTTGGTGGGGCAAATGCCTTCTAGAAACTGCATTAAGCTTGAACTTGATGCCCCCAGGGGCTGAGGTGATATAGGGTAGACTGTGTCCCCAGCTACTAGGGAGAAATATTTACAATTTCTATTCTTTTTTTAGTTTTTGCTTTTTGTTTTTTTTTTGGAGGCAATTGGGATTAAGTGAGTTGCCCAGGGTCACACAGTTAGTAAATGTCTGAGGCTGAATTTGAACTCAGGGCTGATGCTCTATCCACTGTGCCACTTAGCTGCCCCCACAACTTCTATTCTTGCTATATCCTCTCAGTAAATATCCTTTGTAAAAAACTAATGGATGTTAATTGATTAAATGATTTGAAGGGTATCAATGATATAAGACAGATATGAATTCTATCTTGTGATTGATATTGGGGAGAAGATTTCAGAACATGTTAGCAAACTGATAGTGCTAAAGTATCACTTCCCAACCTCTCAGAGATACTCTTTTTTTTAAAAAAAATTATTTATTTATTTTTATTTTTCAACATTCACTTCCATAGGATTTTGAGTTTCAAATTTTCTCCACATCTCTCCCCTTCCCTCACCTCATGATGGCATGCATCTTGATTACCTCTTGCCCCAATCTGCCCTCCCTTCTCTTATCCTGTTCCCCTTCTATTTTCTTATAGGGTAAGATAGATTTCTATACCCCATTGCCTGTGTATCTTATTTCCCAGATGCATGTAAGAACAATTTTTAACATTCGTTTTTTAAACTTTGAGTTCCAAATCCTCTCCCTTCCTTCCTCCCCACCCACCCTCATTGAGAAGGAAAGCAACTTGATCCAGGTTATACATGTGTAGTTCTACAAAACACTTCCATAATAGTCATGTTGTGAAAGACTAACTATATTTACCTCCATCCTATCCTGCCCTCCCCCAGTTTATTCTGTTCTCTCCTTTGACCCTGTCCCTCCTCAAAAGTGTTTGCTTCTGATTACCCCTCCCCCAATCTGCCCTCCCTTCTATCATGTCCCCCTCTTTTATCCCCTTCCCCCTATTTTCCTGTAGAGTAAGATAGATTTCCTTACTCAATTGAGTGTGCATGTTATTCCCTCCTTAAGCCAAATCCAATGAGAATGAAGTTCATTTATTCTCTCTCACCTCCTCCCTCTTCCCCTCCATTCTAAAAGCTTTTTCTTGCCTCTTTTATGTGAGATAATTTACCTCATTCTATTTCTCCCTTTCTCCTCCCAGTACAATCCTCTCTCTCTCTCCCCTTAATTTTATTTTTTAGATATCAGCCCTTCATATTCAACTCACCCTGTGCCCTCTGTCCACATATATTCCCTCCAACTACCCTAATAATGAGAAAGGTCTCATGAGTTACAAATACCATCTTTCCATATAGGAATGTAAACAGTTCTACTTTAATAAGTCCCTTATGATTTCTCTTTCCTATTTACTTTTCCATGCTTCTCTTGGGTTGTATTTGAAAGCCAATTTTTCTATTTAGCTCTGGCTTCTGAAGAATGCATTAAATTCCTCTACATCATTGAACATCAATTTTTCCTTCTCATTGATTACACTCAGTTTTGCTGGGTAGGTGATTCTTGGTTTTAATCCTAGCTCCTTTGACCTCTAGAATATCATATTCCAAGTCCTCCAATCCTTTAATGTAGAAACTGCTAAATCTTGTGTTATCCTGATTGTGTTTCCACAATACTGGAATTGTTCCTTTCTGGCTGCTTGAAATATTATCTCCTTGACCTGGGAACTCTGGAATTTGGCTATAATATTCCTGGGAGTTTTTCTTGTGGGATCTCTGTGGGATCCTGTGGGATCAGGAGATGATCAGTGGATTCTTGCAATTTCTATTTTACCCTCTGGTTCTAGAATATCAGGGAAGTTTTCCTTCATACTTTTCTTTCTTTTTCTTATCTTTTCTCTTTTTTTTTTGATACTTTCTTGAAAGATGATGTCTAGGCTCTTTTTTTGATCATGGCTTTCAGGTAGTCCAATAATTTTTAAATTCTCTCTCCTGGAACCACTTTCCAGATCAGTTGTTTTTCCAATGAGATATTTCATACCGTCATCTATTTTTTCATTCTTTTGGTTTTGTTTTATAATATCTTGATTTCTTATAGAGTCATTAGCTTCCATTTGCTCCATTCTAATTTTTAAGGAATTGTTTTCTTCAGTGAGCTTTTGGACCTCCTTTTCCATTTGGCCAATTCTGCTTTTTAAGGCATTTTCCTCCCCATTGACTTTTTGGACCTCTTTTACCATTCGGCCTAGTCTGTTTTAAGGTGTTATTTTTGTCAGTATTTTTTGTGTCTCCTTTACCAAGCTTGACTTGTTTTTCATGATTTTCTTGCATCACTCTCATTTCTCTTTCCCATTTTTCCTCTACTGTTCTTACTTGATTTTCAAAATCCTTTTTGAGCTCTTCTGAGGTCTGAGACCAAGTCATATTTTTCTTGGAGGCTTTGGATATAGGAGCTTTGACTTTGTTGTCTTCTTCTGGTTGTATGTTTTGATCTTCCTTGTCACCAAAGTAAGATTCTATAGTCTGAGTTTTTCCTGCTGTTTGTTCATTTTCCCAGCCAATTACTTGACTTTTTAACTCTTTGTAAAGGTAGGGCTCGGCTTCCAGGGTGGAGGGTGTACTGTCCCAAGCTTCAGGGGTTTCGTGCAGCTGTTTTTAGAGATACTTCTAGAGACCTGTAAGTTTTCACTTCTTCCAAGGTGGTATGATCCAAGGAGAGGTGTTTACTCCTCTCCCCGGCCCGTGTATGGTCTATGAGTGACCACAAGTACTCTTTTCTGCCCTGGAACTGTGAGGAGGGTTTCCTCTCCACTGCTGCCCTAAGCTCTACTATGCCAATGCTCCTCCTCACCCCAGGACTGCTACCCAAGACTGTGACCCAGATCCAAGCACGGGCAAAGGAACAAAATCCTGCTTCAGTGCTCACAAAGAGATCTTTGTAATCTCCTTCTGATCAATTGTTTGATCCCCTTACTGTCTGTGGGCTAAGATCTCTGGAAGCAGCTGCTGCTGCTGTACCAGGGTTATGCTGGGGCTGGGCTGGCCTGTGCTCCTCTCTCATTCAGGTCTGACAGATCTGACCTTCTACATTGTCTTTGGCATTTGTGGGTTGAGAAGTATGGAAACCACCGTAACTGCCAGTGATTCAGTCCCCTGAATCTTGCTCCAGGTTTGCTGGGGCTTGGTCTGTGCTGGCACAGCCCAAGCTAGACTGCACTCCTCTCTCAACTCGGTGCAACAGACAAAGGTTAACATTAACATTAACCATCCAGGTTGTCTTGGGCTGGAAATTTGTTTCACTCTGTCTTTTTGTGGGTTCTGCTGCTCTAGAATTTGTTTAGAGTCATTTTTACAAGGATTTGGAGGGGTTTGGGGGAGAGTTCATGAGAGTCCCTACTCTTGGCTCTGCCCCACTCAGAGGTACTCTTAGACCCTGAGGGAGAGATGTAACTTTGCCTAGGGATCCAACTTATAAGTGAGAGTGGTATTTGAGATAAGGATATTCCAGTTTCTACATGTGATTCACCTAAAACATCATTGTCTTTGGGGTTTCACATAGGAAACCAATTAGTTTTTAGCAATCACTAAAGCCCTACTTCCTAGAATATCAAGGGATGAGTTGAAGAATGGAAGACATGATGTTGGTTGTCCAGGGTGGCCTAATTTCCTTATAGCATCCCAAAATGTGACACAGACTTAGAACCAACAACTAATGAGATGAGGCTATATTACTCAAAAAAGTTGCTATCCAGTCTAAAGAAACCCCATCTGAATTGTGAGTCAGGCTGTATTATCTAAGCCAAATTACTTGTTCCTTGACGTGTTAAAATGAGGGATGGTGAAAGATACTGTGATGAAGAAGCATTACTCTTTAAAAGTGCTCCATATCCTTGAGACATTGGGACAAACCTCAGCTGACATAACTCAGAGACATTGTTCTGGGGTGTATCTTACCATTGCTCTCATCATCACTTACTCATCTGATACTGGAGCATGCTTTCTGCGGGCTTTGGAACAGCACGAGTCACAAGCCCAGAACGATAGAAACAACCATGTCCCATCCATCACAATGCCAATACAAGGGAAAGGACCCAGGCCCCACTCAGACATAGTACTCGTTCTAGTTTCTATCAGGGCACTCATTATACACTCTTAACACAAGCTCCACTCATTGAAAAATGAGATAATCTATGTAAAGGGCTGTGCAAAAATTAAAGTGTAACATAAATATTCGTATATAGGCTAGTTTAGTCCCAAATGTACCAATTCCTTTCCACCATCTGTCTTCCCTAAATATTCTGGCACAAGGACAACCAGTTGTCACTTTAGCTCCAAGTGGTAGTTTGAGGGGAAGCTGGAAATCCTAGTACCTCATTCTCCTTACAATACTGCTGGCATCATCCTCAAGGTCCCACCTGCCTCTTTTTTCTTCCTAGAAAAGACAGGAAGAATGACCATGACTTTCTTTTGAGTGGGGGTAGGGAAGTGGTGAAGTGAGATGAAGACAACTGATAGTGGTACCTGAAAAGGTTCCTTCTTGCTTAGTGTCCTAAAGAGTTACTAGTCTATTGTTTTCTGCTGGATCTGCATAGGAAAAGACCCTTTGGATTTGCCTCATTGCTTCCTTTTTGAAGACTCTCTCAGCATCTCATTTGTCCATGCCAGCCCCTGCTGGCTGGTTTTGTGACTATGGGTATGTTGCATGAGAGAGAGAGTATTTTTGGATACCAGACCACATCATGGACAGGGTCACATGGAGAAACACTGTGAGGGGGATTTGATAGGGTAACCTGCACCCTGGGTTTTCTGGGACAGGACTGATTTCAGGAAAATAAAGTGAGTTTTAATGAGGCTTTGCAAATCAATGGTCCC